GAGGCAGAGGCTGGCACGTCTTCCCTGGAAGTTGCTGCCTTGAGGAGCAAGGGGTCTGCCCCCTTTTTAGTTCTGAGAAGGAGCAAGAGACAATGAAACCTTTCCTTCCCAGGCTTTGAGGAATGGTTCAGGAGCTAGCCAGAGAGAGAATGTGCAAACTGCAGGAAGTAGGCACAATGAGCGCAGAATTTATCTAAATTTATCTGATAATTTATCTAATTTATCTGTGGTAAATCAGACCCCCAGTGGGTTCCACTGATTTGAGGGACCAGTCACCCTGGGGAAATTGAATTTGGGTCAAAAGCTCCTAGGAATCTAATTCTCTGCTTTCCCCATCCCTCCCCCCATTCCCAGATTGCAAGTAATAGTAATCTTGTCTGAATCAGGTCTAGGGGTGGGATGAGGTCCTTCCCTCAGTTCACCAGGGTGAAAGGTTGGGCTATGCCTGGGACACTGTGGCAGAGTAGAATGGAAAGACCTGCTACGGGGAGCCAGATTATCATCTGACCACCTACCTCTAGGCTTTAGTTTCCTTATCAGTAAAATGAGGGGGTTGGAGCCTGAGGCTTCTGATATCTTGTCCATGTCCTGACCCCGGAGCTTGATTCTCTTATCTGTTCCGCCCCCCCCCCCCACAGAGCACTTACTTAATGGAAGGCTGGACTACATTTTCCCGGGCAGTGCTAACTCACTGCACAGGATGACCACCACCACATCTACCTATGGCCCCCACCTGAGCCCCCACCCACAACACCGCGTCCTGAGCACTTCCTCCACTCTCACCCGAGACTATCATTCCCTGACTCGCACAGAGCATTCAGCAACTCTACCCAGAGACTACTCTACCCTGGCGTCTGTCTCTTCCTATGGTGAGCGACCAATCACTGCTGGGGGTAGGGAGGGGGCTTTCTGCTGGCTGCACCCATCTTCAGGGGGCCCTCATTCGTGTGCCTCCCTGTTCTTCTGTTAATCCTGTCTTTCTAGATTTCCACAGGCTTGACACGACAGCCGGACGCTGCCCCAACCTCTCACTCTCTCCCTTTTATCTACCTTAGGCCTCCCTCCCATTCAGGAAGATGGGGGGAGCAAGTATACTGGGGCTCAGGTTTCTGTGCCAAAGGATGGAGTTCAGGTGAAGGGTTTCCACTCCTACAGTAGCTTTCAGGACTCTGTAATCCTGGCCAGACCAGCAACACACACCTGGGGCCCAGGTAGAGCCTGCGGTGGTCTGTTCCATATTGCAGTGGCTGCCCTGTCCTCATCTACACACCTGCCCATTCCAACAACCACCACCTTATTATCTTCCATTCCATTTGCAGATTCCATGCTGGGCCCACTAGAGCCGCTAACCATTCACCTCCCTGCATGTGCTATGGTTCTAATGACACTCTGATATATCTTTGGGGGGGGGATACTTCCTTGCTGCAGATGGGAAAGAGAAGGGTTAAAATCTTCAATTGTTCCTCTATGTGAAGGTTGATTAGAGGGAAGGGGGCAGCCTAGTGGATGGGGCTCTTGGCAAAGACAAGGACCAAATTCCCGAGGGGATATTACCAGGTGAATGAGCCACCCTGGGCTGGTTACTAGCGTAGGATCGAGGTACTTGTTTAAATGGAGCCAGGCCCTCCTATAGAAGCTAACTCCAAACTTACCTGTCTTCTCCAGTCATGCTGTAGCTTTCTGCCCCCTCTCCTTTCTACCCGGATCTTTCCTTCCTCCAGAATCCCGCCTGCCCTCTGGGGTGCCTGACACCCCCACCCGCCTGGTGTTTTCGGCCCTGGGACCCACATCCCTGAAAGTGAGCTGGCAGGAGCCACAATGTGATCGAGCCCTGCAAGGATACAGCATGGAGTACCAACTGCTGAGTGGAGGTGAGGGGCACCCCCACAAGACCCTATCAGACTCCAAGAGCTACCCAGCAGATGGGCACATTTTCATGCCAGGCCCTCAGGCTAGCTTGTGAGGCTGGCCTATATGATGGCGCCTAGGGGGTGAGGGGTTAAACTTAATGGCTCCTACTCCAGATCAAAGAGCTGGCTGTTTGGGCCATGGTTGCCAGGCAATGACCTTCTGGAGTATTCCTACTCAAGTTCAAAAGGGGCTGGGATCAAGTGAGAAAATGGTAACATTCAAGACACTAATCCTTGATAGTAAAATTCCTGCCCACAGAAGTGTTCCCCACTGGATGACTCCAGGTCAAGAATGCTACAGAATTTCTGAATTGCTAACTGTTGAGATTCTGTAATTCCAAGAATCTCACAGTATAGCCCTGAGGAACGTGTACCCAAAAAAAGAGATCAGCTCATTATTTCTCAGCCTGGGTCTCTAGATGCTTTAATGAAGTTAATCAAATGCCCACAGATGACACACAATCATCTAATGAGGGTAGACAGCGTCTTACTTTTCTTTCTACCACCAAGCCCCAGAGCAGGAGCGGGGAACCTGCAGTCTCAAGGCCACACGTGGCCTCTAGGTCCTCAAGTTCAGCCCTTTGACTGAATCCAAACTTCACAGAACAAATCCCCTTAATAAAAGGATAGAGCCTATATTGGAGGCCATCTGGGAATGGGGGGGGAGATGGGAGAAATGGGAGGGGGAGAAAATCTAAAAACTCAAAATCTTATGGAAATGGATGTTGAAAACTAAATAAATTTAAATTAAAAAAAAATAAAAGGATTTATTCTGTAAAACTTGGACTTAGTCAAAAAGGCTGTACCCAAGGACCTAGAAGGAGGCTGCAGGTTCCCCACTCCTGCCCCAGAGCTAAGCGTGGAAATTTCTGGGAAGAATGAAATTAATTCTCCATTTGCAAATTAAAAAAAAAAAACACTTCTAAATATTCCCCAAAGTATTTCTACTTCTTCCTACTTTTACTCAATCCTAGTCTTCCTTCCTTCCCCTCTTCTAGTTCTATTCTTTCCCTTTTCTTCTCATTTTTGCATTTCAAAGGCCCTTGCTGGGTCTAGTCCCATACCAGTAATTTCAACCCACCTGCTCACAAATAGAAATCTGGTCCAGGGAGGCCCTTGAGTGCCATCTTTGAGGCAGCATGTCACAAAGTGAACAGGACTGGGAGAAAAATATTCCAGCGCTTGGTCTCAGACCCCAAGGTGTGGTGGTGACCCACCCTCCTTTGTTCATTCTCTCCCTAAGGTGAGCTCCACAGGCTACACATTCCCGAACCTCACCAGACCTCCGTAGTGGTAGAAGACCTCCTGCCTAATCACTCCTATGTCTTCCGTGTCCGGGCACAGAGCCAGGAAGGCTGGGGTCCAGAGCGTGAGGGTGTCATCACCATTGAGTCCCAGGTGCACCCCCAAAGCCCACTCTGTCCTCTGCCAGGTAAGACCAACCTCCCCGCCCTCCACTCAGTTTTTACTTGGGAAGCTAAATTGAGCACAATGCAAGAGGGGCTCCCCTCTCATGTCCATACTCCCTCTCGTCTTTCTCAAAGTTAGCACAGTACCTGGTATAGTGGGCACTTAATGTTTATTGACTGAATCTCACCCCCACTCTTTCTTCAGGTTCAACCTTCACCCTGAGCACTCCCAGTGCCCCAGGCCCGTTGGTATTCACAGCCCTAAGTCCGGACTCACTGCAGATGAGCTGGGAACGACCACGCCGGCCCAACGGGGACATTCTGGGGTACCTGGTGACCTGTGAGATGGCCCAAGGAGGTAGCTGCCCATGGCTCCCACACCCAGGGATCTCAACTTTATCTGATCTCTACAAGAAAAAAAGGAGGGACCCTAGGAAGTGGGACTAGGAGAGGGAGGACAGAGAGGAGACAGAGAGAGGAGCTCCTAACCTTGCTCTTGACCCACCTCTCCCTTCAGGTCCATCCACTACCTTCCAGGTGGATGGCGACAGCCTGGAGAACCGGCTGACAGTGCCCGGTCTGAGTGAGAATGTGCCTTACAAATTCAAAGTCCAGGCAAAGACAACACAAGGTTTTGGGCCAGAGCGTGAGGGCATCATCACCATTGAGTCTCAAGATGGAGGTAGGTCAAGGACCCTTCCCCAGCCTCGCCTTTCTGTTCTCTCCCTGGTGCCCCTGAATGACCTCCTAACATTCCCATGATTTCCCCTGGCGGTCCCTGTCCCAGGTCCCTTTCCACAGCTGGGACACCTTGGGCTGCAGCAAGAGACATCTCAGTTTCCCAGAGAGTACAGCAGCATCAGCACAGCAACCCACTCCAGCATCACAAAGCCCTTCTTAGCAGGTGAGGCTTGGTATTTGTGGGAGGGTTGGACGTGACCAGGCTGAGATTGGTCCTTTCTGGCAGGAACACAACTGTGAGCACAACTCACTAATTGCGTTTTATGGGGATTGAAGGGAGCTACAAGTGAGAGGCTCCCAGAATGCGCCTAGAGCCCTTACCTCCAACTCTGCTTATCCCCTGCAGATGGACTGGCCCTGGGGACCCAGCAGATAGAGGCTGGTAGCTCCCTCACGCGCCATGTGACTCAGGAATTTGTGAGCCGAACATTGACATCTAGCGGGACCTTAACCAAGCAGCTGGAACACCAATTCTTCCAGACATGAGAGTCCCACAGACGCCAGCACACCTTCCCCCACAACCTTCCTTCTTTCCCCTAATTCAGCCTGTGTTGCTTCCTAGAGGGTGTGAGGGAATCATTACTCTTTGCCAACCCAACTGTGCTTATCCTCAAGGGGGCAAAGTGGGGGTACAGACTCCTTGGGGGGCATGAGGGTGCAGTTAATGGGAATGCTATCCCAGAGGCCTGGCCTTTCCTCTAGCTCCAAACCCAATTTGTATCCAAAGAGCTGAGGCAGGTCAGAGCATGGAGGGAGGGAGGGGGGCCTCTAATCTTTGTCGTGCCACTTAATAATAAATGTTTTTGCTACCAATGAGTTCTTCCATCTTCATGCCTCCAGAACCCAACATTATGCCAGCCCCCTGGGAGCGGAGAGACCTATCATCTTTGATAGCATACCCTCTTCTGTCCCTGAATTGCTTTCCCAGAATACAACACTCAAAGCTGTAGAAATCTATTTCTAATTTAGTGGCTCATACACAGATGGCTTCCCCCATCATCGTCCATTGCCCACCCAGGGAAAGGTCCTCTCGGGTGTGAGGTGTCCAGCTTGTACTTCTGTCTACCATGACCCTTCACAAAGGCTGCACCTTGGCCCCATCAGCTGCTTTCGAGAGGTAGAAGGTAGCAGTCCCTTTGTATTGTTCCTGTGGAAGAAAAAGGGTCTGAGTACCAGAGCCCAGGACCCCCTTCTTCACTCCCGCTACCCCCAGATGGCTACCTACCTGGATATGCTGCATGGCTCTGGTCGCTGCATCTGCCTCCAGGAGGGTGACCGTACAGCCACCAAAGCCCCCTCCCGTCATGCGACTGCCATACACTCCAGGTACGGAGAGGGCCAGCATCACCAGCTGATCCAGCTCAGGGCAGCTCACCTCATAGTCATCCCTGGACGAGTCACAAGGTTATGTAAGGTTTGGGAAAGGAGCCAGGAAGAGCCCAGACTCAAGGGACATCTGTTGTGCTAGGTGTGAGAAGACACCCAGTGCTACCTGAGAGAGTTGTGGCTTTCCACCATGAGTCGGCCAAAAGCTTTGTAGTTACTCGCACTCAGAGCAGCTGCAGCCTCAGCCGTGCGCTGAATCTCACCCACAACGTGCCGTGCCCGCCGGTATTCCTCCTTAGTGAGCAACTCCTTCCCAGCTAAGAGAAAACGGGTCTTAGCAATGCCTGACATGCTAGGGTGGGAGTGGGGTGCCCTGAGGAGGAAGAGTGTCCACAGGGCAGAAGATAACCAGTCCTGCTCCCTGATGTCTGAGTGCAGATTATGGCAAGGGCCTCTGGGTAGGTGTCAGGATTACTAGGTTTGGTAGTGTTGGTGGCCAGGAGGGAAGCTCAGCCAAGGACTCCTGGATAGTCACATAGTCACACACACACACACACACACACACACACACACACACACACACACACACACACACACACACACACACTCTGCCCATCACCCTGCTCATTTCCCCAACAATATTACCAATCCCTCACCCTCTAGATCTTTCATGTCTACTTCTCGCAAACTCTTCTTGCCCAGTGCCTTGGCAGCCAATTCACACTGACGTCGCCGTATAGGGTACTCACTGGAACCAAGTGAGTGACGGACGTTGGAGTTGGTAATGAGCACAGCTACCCCTGGGTCTGACAAGGGCACCGGGCATGTCTCCAGGGACCTGGGGACAGAAAAAAGACCAAGGGTCCACATCTCATGTCATTTAATGGGCACCATCCACCCCTAGAGGCACAAGAAAAGGCCACCCTTATGCCCTTTCTGGGCTGGATGAGAACACCAGGATAAGAGAAGAGCAAAGAAGCCAGGAATACAGAGTGTAGAAGAAGAACAAAGTCCCTGACCTGCAATCAATGAGCAGTGCGTGGCCCTTCTGCCCAAACAGTGAGATGAGCTGGTCCATGATGCCACAGGGCACTCCTGCAAAGCTGTGCTCTGCCCGCTGACACACCTGGGCACGTGTGGCTGCTGCCCCAGAGTCTATGACACATAGGTGGGGTGTAGGGTGAGAACGAGGGCTAAGTAGAGTACAAGGAAGGAAGGAAGGAGGTTATCCCTGGGATCCCTTGTTTAGCGTTGGTCCAGGGTGGAAGGGTGGTAATAAGGCTTTAAGGGGAAGAATCAGCTCCAAGGTGGGGGGCCCAGGGAAAGATTCCTAACCCCTTCCCTTAAGCCAAGGTAAGAATAAAGTTTCTCTGGTAATTAGGGATTCCAAGTGAGAAAGGGCAGGGAAGCCGGGGCCTGGGCAAGGTACCTGGGCAAAGCTGCTGCAAGAAGGTATAAGTTGCCACTTCCAAGGATGCAGAACTGGACAGTCCACCCCCCAGAGGCACTGAGCTGGCCACCACTGCATTGAAGCCAGGGAGGGGACCAGCTGCTAGGGAAAAAAATGAGGGGGAAAGAATTAGGGGGCTGTGAGATGAGGCTACCTAGGTCCAAGAAGTCAAAGGTGAGACATGTGTTGGCATGTAAAAGAACTGTTATGACCTAATACCTTAGAGGGGTAGGGTGGCCTGGTATCAGAGAAAGTTGCCCCCCACCCTGCCTAGGTGTCAGCTCCTCCATTATAAACTGTGTCTCATCCATCAGTTCCCAGAGAATATAGTTATTGTCCACAGGGACCCCTCTCCCTCCTTCCTCCCAATCACATACCTGGGTAATGTTGTATCACCCCCTTCACATAGTTGGCCCAGCGAGGCATCCCAGGTTCCAGAGGCTGCTCTGCTGTGGGTACTGGGAACTCCACCCGCCTTGGCTCATCAGCATACTCTGAGGTTGTCACAAGAGAGATGAGGCCATCCAGCCGTGGAATTCCTACCATCACTGTCACAAGCTCTAGAGCCTGGTGAAGGAGGAAGAATAGAAAGGTCTTAGCCTATGGTATCCATTAGGACCTTTCTGAATGTTTAAAAATTGGGAGAGTGCCAAGAACAGATAATCCAGGGAGCCCAGGCCTTGGACTCCCCTTCCCACCAAACTGTTCTGGGTTCCCTGGACTCTGAAATGGGAACTGATCTTTATAGTCACCTGACTGGGGGTGGGGGGGAGAGGAGCTGGTCCTCAGAAAAATTGTTAGCACCGAACTGGCAGTGGGGTTCTAACACCTCCCCACCCCCCAACCGTCCTGGATCTTCAGGGATCAGGCCAACTGATACAATAAACACAGGTCTGGACTCTGCCCCATGAAGCAGGGGCTCCCAGTACTGTATGGTAAAGGGGCCCAGATCGCTTGAATGGGGAGAGTAACCTTGAACCTAAACATCTGACTTTTTAAACAGCAATATATAGGATAGCAGTAATGGCCTTGGATTGGGCAGGCTTCACAGATCACCTGAAGACCAGGTTCCCCACTCTTGTCCTAGGTTGTGCCAGAACTACTTACATGACTTCTGGGCCTCAGGCAAAAGAAAGGCCCCATACTAGAAGCTCTCTCAAGTCCTTTTCAGCTTTAAATTTTTATAGTTTACCTTACTCTGGAACAGCAGTGGGGAACCTGCGGTCTCAAGGCCACACGTGGCCCCCTAGGTCCTTAAGTGTGGCCTTTAATAAGTTTGGATCCAGTCAAAGAGCCACACTTAAGGACCTAGAGGCCCACGTGGGGCCTCAGACAGCAGGTTCCCCAGCCCTGTTCTAGAGTGCAGGACCTTCAGGCTGTCTGTCCAGCAGCTGAAGGGATTCCATCCTAATCTCTCCAAAATGAGCCCCTGATTTTTGAAAATGCCACCTATATTCCCCTGAGCAGGCAACCCAGTAGGATGCACTGAAAGCATGGGAGCAGGCACAGCAGCAGCTTTCTCCCACACAGTTTCTCCCAGGAAATTTCTATTTCCTCAGAGAATTCCTCTTCTTCCTTCCCAGGGACATGGGAGAAGGCCACAATCCCAAACCAGCTCGGCTACTCACCCAGCTGGCCGTCACCCCCAACCCCAGCACTCCCCGAAGGCACAGAACTGGATGCAAGAGGAATCCTCTCCGGACGCGCACTAGGGGCAAGCGTTCCCTTGCACAAGGGGCGCGTTTCCTTGCTACAGTAACTGGGTGCGGCAGTTTCCCTAAAGAAACTTTTAACAGAAAAAGCGGAGGAGAGAGGGGGGTCAGGGTCGCGGAGATCTGTAAGGTTCCTCCATCCACCCTCCCTCGAGCTCCGGGACCCTCACCATGGGCAGCACCAGGCCATCGTTGTAGTCCGTGTGCTCTCCGATCAGGTTGACCCGGCCGGGGGCTGACACCGCCAGGGTGGGTGCAGACCCAAACTCCTTGTGGAAGGTCCTCCGGGCCTTTTCCAAGAGCGCACCGACTTCAGGCTCCCGGGAAGTAGCCATGGTGCTCTCCCTACCACGCAGACATGCAGACTGAGGGTCTAGCGAAGGCCACCCTAATCAATCTAGCACGCTCGGGGGCGGAGCTTAGTGCCGGGCGTTCACTATCCGGCCCCGGCCGGTCCCGTTCCGGATGCATCAGCCCCTCCCGGCAACTTTCCAGCTTCCGAACCTTTCGAGGCTCCAATATTCTATCTGACCGACGCCCACGCTCCTCCCCCCTAATCGAATTGCGCCCTGTTTCTCCCCCGGGGGCACTGGACTGATGTGCGGGCGAACTCATGCCTGCGTGGCTGCAGCTAGGCTTTCCCGCTCAGAGTGGGCAACTGCTACCCCGTTCGTGGGGCCATAGCTTAGATACAGAGCTAGAAGGGAACTTGGATAGCAGTCCCCTGATTTTACAGAGGAGGAAGCTGAGGCCCCGGAAGGTTAAAGGCCCGGGCTAGATCCGTTTCGCCCTGAAAATTGCTCCTCCCCTAGTCTTCCTTTTTGCAAACATAGGGGGCGGTGGCGGCGGGTAGGTCTAGTTTCCTCTGGGGAGAGGAGAGTCTGGCTGGGGAAAGAGGAGGGCGATTAGCCTGTTATGAGCGCGAGGGAACCCCTGCTGGGCTCCCCGAAAGAGCGGAGGGCAGGCTTTGCATTCCTGGAGACGTGCAAAGTATGGGGTTGACAGTTAACAAACAAAATCAACGCAATTATAGATAAGTAAAATTGTCAATGGAGGTGAGAGTCATCTCTAATAATGTATCTGTGATAAACAGGGTGTACCAAAAACTATCCTATATAACCACACAAGTATAAAAGATGTATAATATCCCAAAAGTCATCCTATATATTAACACAAGAATAAAAGATATATTGCATATCCCTCTGATGGGGTGATGGGATCTGGACCCCTAAAAGGAGAAGACCACGTCTTTGAAAGCAACCCAGTCCCTGAATTTTCCTATACTTTTCAGCAGCCCAGATCACTCGTACCTCTGCCTAAGGGAACTGGCCCACCCCAGTCCACCTAGATCACTTAATTAGCTTACTTGACATTCCTTTCACTGTTGCTCTTGGCCCACCCTAGACTATTTGCATATACCTACCACTCTTTAATCCCATTCAGATCACCTAATTAGCCTATTTAAGAGTCATTTGGGGGCAGCTAGTGGCATAGTGGATAGAGCACCGGCCCTGTACTCGGGAGGACCTGAGTTCAAATTCGAACTCAGACACATAACACTAGCTGTGTGACCCAGGGCAAGTCACTTAACCCCACTGCCTGACCCAAAATTAAAAAAAAAAGATTTTAAAAAAAGAGTCATTTCACTGTTGCACGTGGCCCTCCACAGACTACTTAGCATCTTTAAACCAATCCAGATCCTTTCACTGTCCCTGTTGCATGTAAGAGTCAGTCTCACCCCCATTAAGTAACTGGTTCATTAGGAACCCTGCCCACTTCTATAGGCATTAGAATAAACCTTGTCATTTGACTGGAAAAAGGGTTGAGTTCTGTGGCCGCCACCAATCCTGACATTTTGGGATTCCCAGCAACCCCAAACCTCATCATCTCATTTTAAGCTTAAAAACTGCACTAAGACTTTTGGGGCATCTTATATATATTAACACAAATTATATATACACATATATACACACATATGCGTGTGTAAATATAGTTCCCATATGAACATAAGAACTATCTATATAGGAATATACAGGATGTATAGGAACTATATATAGATACATATCTATGTATAGGAACATGCATTCCTATATCGTATATGTGGAATATATATGTGAATGCAAAAACTATACTATACATATGTGTTAGCTATTATTATTATTAAATACAAAAACAGAGTCCCTGACCTTAAGAAGAATTCTAATGGGAGAGACCAGACAAAGGGAGTGGTGGCTAGAGAGGGCACCTTAGTCAAAAAGCTAAATTTATGCTAAGAAGGGTAAAAGGAATAGATTGAGTCACGCATATAGGAACAATGACTGAGTGGCTGGGTTTTTTTAAATTTAATTTTTACTTTCAGTTATAAGTTTTCTCTCTCCCTCTACCCTTCCCCTATCCATTGAGAAGATTAAAAAAAATACGATACCCATTGTATATGTGAAATCATGCAAAACATATTTCCACATTAAAATGGCAGAGTTGTTTTGATCATAGTTCATGGTTCCAGAACTGAGGCTGGAAGGGGAAAAAAAGCATTTTTTAAAATTTTTTGTTACATTTTGAATTTCAAGGAAAAAGCATTTATTTAGATCCTACTATGTACCAGACACTAGGCTAAGTGCTTTACAAGTATTATCTCTATTATTATCTCATTTTACAGTTCAGGAGACCAAGGCCAGTTTTGACCTCAGGAAGAGGAGTCTTCCCGATTCCAGACCCAGCACTCTATCCACCATGCCACCACCTAGCTGCCCACTCCACAAGCTTAGTCGCATCCTTTCCAGTCTTCTTACACCTCACCTTCCCATGGATTCTGTGATATAGTAACATCGGCCTCCTTTGATATTTCTCCTCTGACTGGGCATTTTTCCTGGCTGTCTCCCATGCATACAGTGCTCTCCTTCCTCATCTTTATCACCTGGTTTCCCTGGCTTACTTCAAGAGGTGGAAAGGAGAAAATGAGTCTCCCAGACAACCCTCATGGAAGAGGCTGCCTCAGGAAGACACTCTGGAAGGATGGAATAAAAAGCCAACTCCACTCTGGCTCCCAGGCCAGGAGAGCTGAGATTTCAGTTCCCTTGGTTCAGTCAAGTTGTCGCTCTCTTTCTAGAAGGTTAAACTCAACAAGGACAAGACACAGAAAGGCCCAAGTCTTTCAGATTCCTCTCTTATCAAAAGGGTCCAATAGGGCAAAAACTGTCCCCTTCATTTCTTACAACACGTTAGTATTCCATTACACATTCATATATATGCCCTAATTTGCTCAGCCATTCCCCAATTGATAGGTACCCCCTCAGTTTCTGGTTCTTTGCCAACAGCTAATCATTTTGTTCTCTTACTCCCAGAAGGCCATCCGGATAGTATTTCTCCAGGTCAAAGCTGTCAAATTGGCAAAACCAAAACCATACCTGTTTGAGTTAAGCTGTCCCAAATACACCCCCACACCACCTATCTCCCTCTCATGTGGGACAGAACCCAGCTCTCCCCAGAGCACTTCTAACAACCTTCATACCAAAGCCAAGGTGGTTATCACATGTGCGAGGTGTGGTAGGGTGGGTGGGCGGGGTTGATGGAAAAGGGGCATGCAGGAGAATTATCCACCCTGCATCTTAATGTCGTGCCAGCACACATGCCTGGCACTCAGATTATACTCATTCACACCTTTTTTGGAACTTTGTGAGTATACAATCATTTCTTTTTTTTTTTCGGGTTAAAGATGTGTAGTCACGCAAAACACTTCCATAGTAATCATGTTGTGAAAACTAAGTATATTACTAAGTATATTTCCCTTCATCCTATCCTACCCCTCATTTAGTCTGTTCTCTCTTTTGACCCTGTCCCTCCTCAGAAGTGTTTGCTTCCGATTATCCCCTCCGCTAATCTGCCCTCTCCTCTATCAACCCCCTTCTCTCTTGTCCCCTCCCCCCCTTATTTTCCTGTAGGGTAAGATAGATTTTCATACCCCATTGTGTATGTCATTCCCTCCTTAAGCCAAATCCTATGAGAATAAGATTCACTCATTCCCTCTCACCTTCCCCCATTTCCCCTCCACTGTAAGAGACTTTTCTTGTCTGTTTCATGTGAGATAATTTACCCCATTCTACTTCTCCCTTTCTCCTTCTCCCAGTATAATCCTCTCTCACCCCTTAATTTTATTTTCCAGATATCACCCCTTCATCTTCAACTCACCCTGTGCCCTCTATCTATCTATCTATCTATCTATCTATCTATCTATCTATCTATCTATCTATCTGTCTATACATACATATAATTTTTTCCCTCCCACTACCTTAATACTGACAAAGGACTCATGAGTTACAAATATCATCTTTCCATGCAGGAATATAAACAGTAAAAGTATAACTTAATAAGTCTCTTATGATTTCTCTTTCCTGTTTACCTCTTCCATGTTTCACTTGAGTCTTGTATTTGAAAGTCAAATTTTATATTCAGCTCTGGTCTTTTCCTCAGGAATGCTTGAAAGTCCCCTATTTCATTGAATGACCATTTTTTACCCTGAAGGATTATACTCAGTTTTGCTGGGTAGGTGATTCTTGGTTGTAATCCTATCTCCTTTGCTTTCCATGCCCTGCGGTCCCTTAATGTAGAAGCTGCTAAATCTTGTGTTATCCTGATTGTGTTTCCACAATACTTGAATTGTTTCTTTCTGGCTGCCTGCAATATTTTCTCCTTGACCTGGGAATTCTGGAATTTGGCTACAATATTCCTAGGAGTTTTCCTTTGGGGATCTCTTTCAGGAGGTGATCGGTGGATTCTTTCAATTTCTATTTTGCCCTCTGGTTCTAAAATATCAGGGCAGTTTTCCTTGATAATTTCTTGAAAGATGATGTCTAGGCTCTTTTTTGGATCATGGCTTTCAGATAGTCCAATAATTTTTAAGTTCTCCGTCCTGGATCTATTTTCCAGGTCAGTTGTTTTTCCAATGAGATATTTCACATTCTCTTCTAATTTTTCATTCTTTTGGATTAGTTTTACAGTGCCTTGATTTCTCATATAGTTGCTAGCTTCCAATTTCTCCATTCTAATTTTCAAGGAAGTATTTTCTTCAATAATCTTTTGGACTTCCTTTTCCATTTGGCCAATTTTGCTTTTTAGGGCATTCTTCTCCTCATTGGCTTTTTGGACCTCTTTTGCCATTTGGGTTAGGCTATTTTTTAAGGTGTTGTTTTCTTCAGTATTTTTTGGGGTCTCCTTTAGCATTAATCTCAGTTTTTCCTCTACTTCTCTTACTTGCTTCTCAAAATTTTTTTGAGCTCTTCCATGGCCTGGGACCAATTCATATGTTTCTTGGAGGCTTTGGATGTAGGAGCTTTGACTTCATTGTCTTCTTCTGGTTGTATGTTTTGATCTTTGTCACCAAAGTAAGATAATATAGTCTTGACTCTTTTTGCACTAAGACTTGGGATACCCAGAATATCAAGGGTATACAATATATCCTTGTATGTTTGGCTAGATAGCCACCCTACATTGTTGGCCACCCACAGTGGGGAGAGATTTTCTCCCAGGCTTGTTGGGGAAATGTCAGAGGACCTGAGGCAAGGTCTACTTCAATCTAAGAGTTTCCTTTAGAAATATAGCATAAGAAAATCTTCTTCTAGAGAAGGAATAGGAGAAAGGGGTGGAATCTGATCAACACTTGTTATCTTTCCACTTTCTGGCCATAGCCTTCCCTGGAACCCAGCTGTTTCCATTAATGACTATCTCTCCCAGACTATTATTTCTGAAAAGCTCCAGCTATGCCTCACT